CTAACATTCATCAGCTGGGCGCTGAAATAGAAGCCTCTAGTAGCCAAGGGTGATGTTTAAGGAACTCAGTTTTATACACTTGGGCAAGGTATTAAGTTTATCTTCTAACAATTTGCCTTTCTTCAACATTAATTCATTCACTTAGCAAATACTTACCTTAAGATAGAGAAGCTGCATCTCTTAGTGACCAGGAGCATAAACTCTGGAACTGACTGGTTTAAATTCTGGTTCTGCCATTTATCAACTGTGTGCTTTGGTTAAGTTATTTAATTTTCCTCTGCCTTAATTTTCTCATCTGGAAAGTAGGGATTGTAATGTTACCTACCTCATGTGGGCATGAGGATTAAATGGGTTCAAATAAGTAAGGTTCTTAGAACATGCCTGGTGTGGCAGGAGCTCAGGAAGTGTTCCCAGTTAACGATGTTGTTGTTACTCATATATGATGGTATGCCTTCAGTGTATTCATAATCCACTGAGGAGAGAGAAACAGAATAGATTCAGTCATTGGATATTTCAACTACTATTCAGTACTTCTATGTGCCAGGCACTGTAGTAGGCCCTAGAAATAAAACATCAAATAAGCAAACATATTCTTGCTCTCATGAAGCTGATTTTTAGTAGGGAAGATGATTAAAATAATTTCAGTAAAATGTTAAAAGTTTTATAATAGGGAAAATGCAAGGTGCTGTAATTGCATCTAGCAGGCGCACCTAAGTTACTTTAGGAGATTAGGGATAGTAAGAAAAATATATTATGACAAATGCTATACTGGAAGGTCCTTTTCAGATTTAGAGATACCGCTGAGTAAGGAAGTGCCAGAGTCTTTGGGGAGCCAGGGAATGCTTCTCATTGGATGAAACCCTTGAGCCGACTCTCATGACAGAGATGTGGATGGGTGGACGTGGGGCAGGGAGGACATGCCTGGCAGGTGGAATGGCTTATAGGATGTCATGAAGCGTGCTGAAGCATTTCACAGTCCCTGAGCTTCAGTAGTGCTGTATTGCTGGGACAGTGTGCGGGGCAAATGGGAGTGGGCAGTGAGTGGTGTATGTGGGGACAGCCAAAGGAGACCAGACTGAACTGCAGATCTAAAGGGATTTCTCTACCAAAAAGTTGGGACTTTATCCTGAAGGCTTTATCACTGAAGTGTTTCAAGCAGAGGGGGAATTGTGGTCACATTTTTATTTTTAAAGATAATTCTTTTATCTCTGTAGAAAAGAGACTGATGGAAGTAAGGCTGGAGACAGTTAGACCTATTGGGAGACTAGCAGTTGCACAGGCTGGAAATAATGAGACAGTGAATCAAGGTGTGGCAGTGGAAGTGGGGAGAGAGGGTTGCATGGAAGAGAGCAAACTGACACGCCTTAGCCAGCAGCTCAGTGGAGGGCGAGGGGAGCAGGTGAGCGCGTGGGTCGTGGTGAGCCGCTCGGAGGGCGGGAGGCGAGGAGTCTGTTTGTCAACTGGGACTTGCCGCAGCCTTGACACATCCTGGATTTATAATAAATATCAAACATTAGTATCACTTTGAGAGATCTCAGAAATCCTCATATCCATTTTTCTTCAGATGGGGATGGTGATTCTGTTCACTTATGAGAGAGAATTTAGGTGGTTCTCCAGAATTTACAGCTAAGTAGTGAGGATTTGGGTAAGATCTCCTATTTTCTTATATAGTATTCTGATGAAAGATGGCTGTTCTTAATTGATTTTAGGAGTTTGATAATATTTTTAAGAGCTGTGGGGATAACCATCAATGGTTGAGTTGAAGCAATCATATGGGATACTGTTAGAACATATATAATGATGTAAGGCTTTTGAATAAAGGGAAATACCCTTCAGAAGAGAACGGCTTGCATAGTAAAAGATGTTTCTTGTGTTTTGTGATTGGTCTTTAGTGCCCTCTATTGGCTGTTTAGTCTAAAACATCTTGATTCTTGAATACAGTGTTCCTTGCAGTGTTATTTACCAAAACAAGAAAAGTTAGAGGTTTTAAAATTATGTTAAAGGCAATAAAAACTGATAGGGACTTAAAAATCTGCATGGGTTCTAGGAGTTGGTTAGAGGTTGCTAGAAATATCTTTATAACATTTTGTTGGCTATAACATGGGTATGAGATTGTGGGCTGTATGTTCAGAAAATAGACTTTTCTGATGAGAAGCAGTCTGAATCTGGATAGTTGTTTTGTTTTGTTTTGTTTTTTTTAGCATTTTTTAAATGCCACAAATCCTCAAGAACAGTAGATACCCCAGTAGGCAGTAGCAGCTGCTCTTTTTCCATTGGGTGGCTGCTACATGTGATGACCATGACAGAAAATGACTGTTACTCATTAAAGCAACTTCATTCAGCTGTGTGGGAAATTGTACAGTCCGAACAGTCATCATAGAAAATGAAGTAGTGATTATACACAATGGGGCATCCTCAGAGGTGGCGATTTGACTTTTTTTTAAGTGACAAAGCAGCTGCCAGGGTTTTCTTCTCCAGGAGAAGTGGTGGTAGATTAGGGACTAAAGCCTGAGTAAGTGTCAGTAAGCAGGCACACCTGATACTAGCTTGAGGGCTAAAGAAGCCTGGACTTTGTGTAAATAAGTGCTCACCATGACTTTTCTGTTATTTCCGGGTTAATCTTCCTCTGACATGTTTCTAATTATCATTTCAATGGGTTGCATTTTGAAAACCAACTCACCTATTTTATTGGGTTAAAAATACTGCCATTTGATTTGGTGTTATATGAAACTACAGAGGTCACTCACACCAACCTAGTGAAATCATTTATTTGCTTTCGGTATATTTTACTGTTGCAGTTTTCTCTAAGAAAGTTAAGTAATTATTAACATGAAGTAATGCTGGCTGCTTTCTGTGCATTTCACAAGGGGAATAAGCTATTATGTAGTTTCCCTTCCCCCCCAATAAAAAAGCTTTCCATCAAAAACTGACATCCTAAATGAAGGACATAATTGTACAGCTTATTTATTAGCGTGTCAAACTTAAAATGTAATGGTTTCATATTTCAGAATGAAAAGTGTGTTGTGATTCATGGTTGCCAGTGACAAAATAGACAGCTCTTTTATATTACTGTGCTGATTGCCTCCTGATACACCACCGTCTTTTTTTTTTTTTTTTG